ATTTAAGTCTTTTGCACTTTTGAGCAAGTGCTGAGAGGAAGTGAGGGGAGGGGCGATGTATGTGGCTGGCATCTTATAAGATTTATGGACTGCTAAATTTAGAAATGTCATTTTGTTATTGCCTGTGAACTGCTGGCGTCTTTGTATGAGTCACGAAGAAAAAAATAGCAATCACCTCCTTTGCTAGAGCTAGTATGAGTAACACAAAATGGGTCCAATTAATCATTTTAACCACTGAATTCACTCTGGATAAACAAAGTGTGTATCAGATGATACGCCCTAGAAAGGTAGTCATCCTTACAAAATGCTACTCTCTGCAGCTCTGCTCTTCTCATTATCGTATTGCAAATAGTTTTCTGAAAGAAAAAACTGTTCAAGCAAAATATTAAACAGCATTCATTTGTCATTTTCCTGCAGGGACTAGGCAGCAACCTGCTGTGGCTGAAAATATGTGGTCATTACGAAGCTGGTATTGAATTGTTTGTTTATCTCTAGCAGAGAGAGGTTTCGATGATGTTACTTTGTGATTGGTAATTTCAGGCACTTCAGCTTTCTAGAGGCAGATCTTCAGTCTAGAATTGTTATTAATAGACAAGTGTATAAACATGCTGCTTTTGTGTGTGTTTTAATATTCATATAATTTTCTGTGCCACAAGCTCTTATCAACATGAGCAGTGATGATAAGTTTCATTTTTTTGTTAGTGTATGGTGTTTTATATCACAGTGAGTTGGACTGCTTGCTCTTTTGGAGATCTGAAGTGTTTACTATAAATAGACTGGCTTAGGATGTCTAAGATGCCTTGCTCACTGATGGCCATATGGCTTTGGCAAATGGATCAGAGGGAGAGTTCAGGGTCTATGTGTTTCGCTACCTCTTTAATGCAGGGAAATCTTAGGTCTGTCTCTTCTCTCTTCCCCTCCATCTTTCTTCTTTTCCCCTCCTCTTCTTTTTTCCCTTCCTTATTCTTCCCTACATTACTACATTCACTGGATTAAAAAATGACCTGAGAAAGTATCGAAGTACAGACTCAAGTCCTTCAGACAAAATGAATCTAGTCCACTTACAGTTAACTTCAGATAGCAACCTTGCTTAACAGCCTTTACCAAATCCTTATTCTTCTATTTAAAACTGTTTCATCTCATGTGCTCAGGGAGCACAGGAAATGCTCACTATTTTCTGAAACATTCCTGACTCAAAGACTGCAGAATGGGTTTCACCCCGTTTAGTTGGAAACAGAATTCCAGGTTAATTAACTTTATCTCTGAACTTGTAATCAATTTATGGCACTCCTTGGTGCCTCCTTTGTAGTTTTTCAAATCCTCTTTAATTCAGAGAATGCAGAACTGTGCATATTTTTCCAAAAGAGGCTTTCCAGTGCAAGTAAATGGTTAATGGCAAAGTTGAAAATAAATAAGGCCAATTTATGTTTTCCAATTTCTTATTGTTCACATATGCTAAACATAATATATTTAGTCAATGTGTGGATTTGCTAGTCCAAGAATCTGGTAATGAAGACAACTTCACTGCCAGGAATGAACGCAGATATAGAATAGTTAAAATCATGGTTTTCCCCAAATGCCACCCTGTCTGTTTCATATTTAGGAGGTGGGGGAGGTGAACTCTGATAGAAAGGAGAAGGTTGAGCATGGGGAGAGAAGTCTGTCTCATTGGAGTTAAAGAGGTATGTTTGGAGAAAATATTCATCCCAGATATATCCAGATAATACTGACTTTTGATCCTTTTCCATTGAAAAAAATCCTTTTGGAGAGTAAGCAAGGGCATGAAAATGCACAGACTTTTGAGAATTAGTTAGATCAAAATCTCACTTGTTCAATAAACCATGAAGTCGTTCTTCCAGGCAGAAAGGAGACAATTGAGGGTTTTAGTACTGTCTGAATGAAGGGGCTTTAATTGCTCAGATATACTGCTATGCTTCTTTGCCTCATTAAGTGTATTAATAGTCTGATCTTGCAGTGGGAGAAAATAGGAAAAAAATAAATGGGGGCAAAGCCATGAGTTAAATAATGAGCTTACAGCAATATAACCCCAAATGGTTGATTTCAGACCTGATTCTTCTTTCTCTCTGTGTGTATATGTGATCTGACTTTTTAGAAAAGCTGTATTCTTTATTCAATGCCTCAAAAAACTTTGCCAGCCATTTAATACCAGAAAACTAGAATATTTGATTCACAATAAAAATAACAGTCACCATTTACTCAGTTCTTACTATGTTTTGGACAATTAATGCATGTAAGGTATATTACCTTAGGTAACAACATAATATTAAGTATATTATAGTATAACTATATGGAACAGTATGACTATAATATACTTTATACTTAATTGTCATTACCTAAGATAATCAGTCCATCATTTGTTTGTGTTACTGTGAATGAATGACTATTTGTCCTACAAGGTAGACATTCCTATCCCCATTTTACAGATGAGGAAACTTGCAGAGGTCATTCGTGGTTTGTTACTGGCAAAACTTAGTTTTGAACTCAGGCCTCTTTAATGCTAAAGCTGATGTTCTTCCCAATACATTCTCGTTACTCTGTTGGACTTGTCAGATTTATCTTGCTCCTTCAAAAAGGTGTATAAATGAACCACAGTTCTTCAGCCATAATACTACCTCCAAGACAGTATCGGATACTGATTTGCAGTTTTACAATTAAATATTTTTTTGGATTTTTCTATTAGAGAAGCCCAGGGAGTCATTATAATAATAATAATAATTTTTAAAGCCACAGATAGTCAAGAACTGAGGCTTCTGGAATTACAATGGCCAGACTATTATGAATATAACATCGTCTTGGCACTGTTATTATATTGTTGCAGTTATTGGTTTTAAAATAAGATGTGAAGTCCCAGCTACTTAAAGGTTGATTAATGCATTTCCTTTGATGAGCTTGTAGACTGTGTTCATTCCTCTCTTTCTCTATCCTCCTGTCCCTAATTCCCTCTCTTCCTACCTCCCTCTCTTTTTCCCCTCTACCTCTTTCATGGATGCTTTATGTGAGCCACAAGATTACATGTTTGTATTTTATCGTATTTTATGGTTGAGTAAGTTAGGCCAGGGCGATAACCCAAGGGAATATTAATAATCCTTGTTTTAACAAGCCTAAATTTATACCATTATCAGAAGTTAATTACTCAGTTACATTCCTGGTGCTTAGGATTACTGAGTAGTGAGAGATAGTGGTGGAAAAAAATGTTTTTTATTTTTGCAAAAGCTACCTCTGTAATATTTGTGCACTGGCAAGGAGAACATTATTCCTTTGGAATATTTGACTATTTATTGAACAAACAATGGAAGGTGTTTTGTATAACTATCAGGTAATATTTTCAAGGTCCAAAGTCACATGGAGCACAAACAGAAAATGTTTATAAACTTGTAAAGTGTCTGAGCCTGCTTGCCTAGGTGAGTGGAAAACACCACTATCGTATTATACAGCTGCACACCAGTGGTCCTTGGTCAGAACAGCTGCTACCAGGTGACAAGTTTTACCTCCTGGATAAGTTTCTCTCTTTTGTGAGGGGAAGAAGTAGCAAATATTTCCATTTTGACCCTTTCTGTGCTTTCCTGGGAGCTGAAGCACCTCTCCCTGATCTTGGACTCACTTACCTGAGATGGAAAACATATGTTAGGCTCAGGAAGAGAACAGCCACAAAAACAGATCAGCATAGCTAGGTAATTAGTAGATAGTATAACCCTCTGGAAACTCCAGGACAGTCACTCAATCATTTATCCTCTCTGAAAGTGTAATTAGAAGTTTTTCAATTGATCTGTCACCATTTTCTCATTTAATCATTAGGTTGTAAGAGACCAAGGCTTCAATGCTTGTATTTAATTTAATTATATAAAAAATGAAAATTAAACCTATGAACCAGTGCCTTATGGAAATGTTTTGAGCTAGCATTTGTTGAAAGTCTCTTGCATGTCATCTTTAACAAAAATATAGTATCTTAATGGAATATGTGCAAATGTGATTCTTTGTTCCCTGTTCCTGGAAAATGTATCAATAATTCTTTTCCTCTAAACTTTTGTGGGACTTCAAAATCTTCAACTCACAGTTCCATATCACAATTGCAAAATTGTTGGAGCTTAAAAACCTATTGGCAGTCATGCTTGATCTAAATGATAGTGAGTACAATATATGTAGTATAAGAAATTGCTTTCTTTCCTTCTTATCTTCTACCTTGGTTTGTACATTTTTAAATTGCTCTCTACTTTGATAGAACTTTACTATTCCTTAGTGTGTACTACAATGTGTGATGAATACTGTGGGGCTCACAGTTAAAGGAGGTAGCAGAGTAGCAGGTGCTAAGGAGTTGCAGTGAGACTGCTCTGACTCATCCTTCCTACCTATGCCAATTTTTGGCATGGGGAAAATTACTTGAATTCTCTAATCATTAATTTAGAATGTACAATATATGGTATATGATATATAATATATGTATATAATATTGTATACAACATGTATACAATCTACAATTGATATCATGAATTTGACTCTATTGCAGTTGAATTTTGATAAGTTATAAAACTTCTCTATGCCTCTGTTTTATTATCTATAAAATATTTTTTCTGTAAAAATCAGATGAATTTAGGCTGGGATGTGGCTTAAGTGGTGGTGCGCTCACCTGGCATGCGCGGGGCACTGGGTTCCATCCTCAGCACCACATAAAAATAAAATAAAGATGTTGTGTCCACCGAAAACTAAAAAAAAATA